TCCGGTTCATAAATACATATCAAAATAACTTAACTCATGTCTATTGTCAAAAGCTTTCAAGGACTTTTTCGCCCCCTCTGAGATTCACAAAAAGACTTTTAACCTTGCTTTTATTGAATCTTAAAGTTGGCCTATTTTAAATGTATTCCTATAATTCTGCCCTGTTTAATTGTATTTTAATGTTGTTAACTTTCTCTGTCATCTTATGAAAGCCACACACACACACACACACACACACACACACTAAATGAATTAGTGTTTCCTCAGTACATCAGAGCAGAGCGGCGTCATGTCTCATCAGTTTGACAGACGACGCTCACTGTCATTAGTTTCAATCATCAACCAAATTAAAAATCAATCAAGGTATTGATCGGCCCTGGAGTCTTGCAGTCTTTGGGCTCGGCTGCTCTGACAGCGTCTGGCACTCTGAGCTCACAGTTCAGGTTTTCATTGAGTTTTCTGCTGTTTGTTATTGCATTTAAAGGACAAGTTCACAGTTTTTCAAATCTGTCTCACAATGTAATCCTTCCTCCTGTTCATACGGGACATTAGAAGATCCATTACTAATGTGCTTTCAGTAGAAGAGATGGAGGACAGAATGTACTTTAAAGTTTATCTGAAGTTTCTCTATGAGGAGTCAGCAGTCTGAGTTTGTCGAATCAAGCGTGTATCATCTAAGTGAGTGTCTTTTAGTCACAAATTTAAACAGGTATTTACAGAGATTTGAAGAAAAGCCTACGTGTTTGGTATTTTGACTAGATTGATTATCAGTGATCTAATCAGTGCTTTTATACAATCTGTTGTATCAGAGAAGCACGGGGTAAATGTAGTTGGTACCAAGGATGTTTTCGTGTCTCATCAAGACGGTCTGGTAGATCTCTGTCTCTCTGAACCAGCTGGCTTCCTCTCGGGTGAAGAAGACTTTGACGGCCACCTTCTCTCCCCTCCAACGGCCCAGCCACACTTCGCCGTACCGCCCCTTACCAATCGGGCGCACCATCTGGATCTGCTTGGCAATGGTCCGCTGCACCTGAGTGGGTGAGAGAGGAGGAGGAGAGAGGGGAGACAGAGTTTTATTATTACTTTCGTCTCTATCAAAAATCTAACGAGGAAGAACAAACCTGCTGATTCACCTCAAACTAACTAACTCAACTATCTGATGTCATTGAAGAGCTTTAGAGGCACATGGTGGTTTCTTAAAATGGAACCTCAATAGTTTTCAGCACTGTCTGAAATGTGCTTGTAGCACAGAGCACTACACACAGATTTTGGTTAAAAAGAAAAACAAGAAAAGGTAAACCCAACAAAACAAGTCAGGAAGGTCATAGTTCTTCCACAGTTCATGTTGAGTTTTGGAGTCAATATGTTAATCCAGATCATAAAATGTGAATGAGGAGACAAATGAAAGGTTTATCTTCTGTATTTATTATTTTGTTCCTGTATACACTGCATAATCTATGCTGAGTCACTAAAAAGATAAGTAGACAATGTAAAACAAAATGCAGTGTGTGATTTACATTTACATATTTTCCTTCTAATGTTGAATTCGCCAATATGTTTTTCCAGCATTAAATCTATCTGTAATGTAAGTATTTATATGTGTATAGTTCACATAATGTGCAGTGTGGTGTCCTTACCAGCAGGGGGAGCCCAGAGCCACTGCCTGAGCTCTGTGATTGGTGGATGAGGTCTTTGAGTGACTCTCCAACAGGGATAAACACTTCCTGCTCCAGATCTTTGTGATACCGCTGACGCTCACTCTGCCACTTATACCTGACACACACAGATTGATTAGATAGATTTTTTTAAATATAGAAAGTTTACTTGCTGTATCACAACTCAGTCACTTCTACCTGAGGGACAGCAGGTTTCTACTGCAGTCTAATAATCAGCTTTATTAAAGGTAACCTGGCAGGTGAAGTACATTTCAGTAAGTTGTTTCCATAAAAGTTTGCTGTATTAGCTATTAGCAGCTGCTGTTGGATGTACAGACATCTGTATTAGTTTGATACTGAAGAAAACTAAAAAAACATGATTCTCAGGCAAGGTCTGCAGATAAAGAGCATCTTTTCCTATGATTTCTAAACAGATTCTTGAAAGAACTGTGATGGATTACAAGGCACCTCACAGTCTGAAAAAACTTCAGCAAAATATATCATTAAATTGCATTTAACAGCATTTGAAACATTCGTAAAACCTTTAAGCTGAAGTTATGAATAATTTGTAATAATGAAATGTTGAAATTAAACCTATTGAATGAGAATGACTGAGACAACTGCAACAAGTCTTAAAATGATGTTTGGGTTATTTGAGGTCCTGTGAGGTGCTGTGGATCCAGGTGATGTCCTACCTGTAATAACAGACCACGGTGATACAGATCAGAGTGCAGCAGCAGACCGTCATGGAGATGAGGAAGGCCAGCCAGTGAGGGCTACCTTCTGGAAAAACACAAAAACAAAACAGTGTGATTAACTCGGGTCTACATTGACTTGATAAACATCTGAATCGCTCGGCCTGGTGAGGGTAAATGTTACCGGCGGGAGCCTGAGGGGGGAGGGTGGGCTGCAGGTCTCTGTTGCAGAAGTCGGTGTTGCAGCACTCGATGGTCCTCCTGGTCTGAGCATTGGGAGAGTCCTGTTGATCATACAATCCATTAGTTAGACCTCACCTGAACAGCTTATCTACATGTTATGTGTCACATACACATTAACGGCGCAACTGCATAACGGTGTCAAACCTGGTAAAATTAATTTATATTTCCTGCCAATCAGGACTGCATTCTGTTACATATTTTAAGAATCATTCCTCAGCTAACTACCTCCTTAGTGGAGGTCGGAGAGCATTTTCTAGAAGTATCTACTCATCATTATGGATTCCCATGTTTTTTATGCATGTTCACACTGATAAAGGATAATGAAAATACTATGCATTTTGTAAGAAAGTGAAAATATTAAACAGTAATAGAAACTTAATCGGGCTTATTTGTTTATAAAATGCCTCAGCCCCATGCTTGGAAGACTTTGGCCCCTGGCACAAATGTAGCTGATGACTCCTTGATAACACTTCTGTTATCAGGGGGTAAGTTTTGGTTATCCTCTCATTGAGTAATGTTCATTCTTAAATCCAACCTGCTTACTGCCCACATTGCTATATGCAATAATTAGGTTAAGTTTATATGATGGTATAATGGCAATATAATGTGCTCAAGGCCATCAAATTTGGGCTTTTACAGACAAAATAGTCTGTAACATGGCATGTCCTGGCATTGCGAGTTGGCTACTCCATATCTTTATGAAAAGCCCTGCGTACCATTTAAATACCAGAGCCTGTATTTAAGTGTGAGTGTAGGAAATCACTCCTAACTGGCTGAAAACTGTGTTGAGACTAAATTTGAAACAATTAGTTAATTAATCAGTTGTCAACTATTAAGTAAACTACGTTACTTTGAGCTGTGGACAAAACACCACATCAGAGGATGTCACCTTGGTCTTTGGGAAACAGTGATCATTTTTCACAATTTTCTGATTGGAACAAACAACTAAAGGAATAATTGAAAAAAATGGTAGACTGATTAATCGATAATGAAAATAGTCGTTATTGCAGCCATAGTTGAGACACACATTTGGTTCTACTTCCAGACCTCAGAGTACAAATAAGCTTCCTAACTTAGGAAATGACTTGTCTTAGTCGATATTTAGGAATATCTGCAGAGGAGTCCTAACCAGTTATGGAGATGGCATTCAGGCAGAGATATAACACACACTGAGCTTATTCAAAGATACTGTTCAGACATAAATTACATATGTTTTTAACTTCCTCTCTCCACATAAAACAATGTCCTCACAATATCACAGCAACTGAAAATGTAGATTTGACACAGTGATGATTTAAGTCCGTCACAACCAATTCCTGCAGTCATGAATCGAACTTTGGTCTCTCATACAGCTCCTCAGATAATTCATTTCCCCATCAGAGCGCCAAGGTATGGAAAACAAGCTGCATTCTCACAAATCCTAGGTTATTATTCCTAGGAGTTATTCTGCGATTCTTAAACTTAAAAGCCCCAAGATTAATTTTTTTGAACAAAACACTAGCAGATGAGATAAAATGATTTACTTAAACAGAGTTCTGTTTTGCACTTCAGTTTCTGAAGAGTAAATTATATATATATATATAT